TGAACATGCTGGAGGTAGGTCATCTTAGAAACTCTCCCTCCTCATCTCATTGAAGGGGCACTCCAGCAATTTGATAATGCACTGGCAGAAAGTTGGTATGATTGCAAGATACATATATATAAATAAAGCTTTGTCAAATTGTGCAGCAAAGGATGAATGAAAGTACATATATAATCATTCCAATCTATATTCAGGCTAAAGGGTGGAGAGTGTGATGGAAGATTTCTATGTTAATCTGGAGAAGAGAGTTGTTCACAAATCAATAAAAAAGTCTTCAAAAGATTCAAAGTTGTCTTTCTCCGTTTATTTGCTGGCAAGGGAAGAGTGCACAACACAATACGTATTCAGCAGCATGTTGTATAAGCTTCGACTAAGTACAAGATTCAACATCATTTTATACATAGAGAGGCCCCCTCCTCTAGACAAATCATGCATAGGGGAGTAGAGGTCTTTTGACACAGGCTGTCTTGAGCTGCTCATTATCTAGTTTCTGCCAGATGCGTTCAACTGGGAACCAGTTACGGTTTCAAGGTAAGATGAGACTTTCAACTACATGTTCATTACTGCATAGTTTTAACCACACGTAAGTTTTGGGTTCACAACACGGACACACAGAGTTCAAATATATTTTGCCATTACAAGAGACTTTGAGAAGAAGATGAGAGGAAGTTACTGGACTGCTTTAAAGATGAATTGGAAAGTGTGGACTCCCTTCCAGTTCATCAATATCAACTTTGTGCCTGTTCAGGTATGCATTCCACTGGCATCCTGTCACTGAACAAATGATGACTCACATAGTGACGCTATGGTAATGACCGTCTCTTCCTGCGTCTGTTGTTTGCTTACAGTTCAGAGTGCTGTTTGCCAACTCGGTCGCCTTATTTTGGTACGCCTACCTTGCATCTGTGAGGAAATGAAGCTCTGCGAGATTTCCTCCCTGAAAATGAATCTGGAGGAAACTGCTTCTTCACTGTAGCTTCAGCATTTGGCTGTTTACTCTACTACTGTTTATATACTGGTCAATAATTCTCACATACAGTAGAATTTATTAATTGGAGTTCAAGCCATTCTAACATGCTCATATGATTGTTATGTTTGTAATTACAGAGCATAATACATTTCTTTTTTATGGAGCACTGACAAAAACGTATAAGATGTAATAATAAACACTGAATTATATGACTGAGAAAGTCTCTTAATAACTGTAATAATGTTCATTTTAAAACAATGCTTCAGTGGGCCTTTCTGGTTCCTTCTGGTTGTGGTCTGTACAGGGTACGGCTCCACCCCTGAGCTGAGGAAACGGTAGGCCTGCAGGAAATGTGAGGAGACGTGCAAATTTACATTTGAAAAGTTTTATTTGTTTTTAACAGTCCAGTTAACATAATGCAGCATTGTGGAACTTATTTGTACTACCAAAGCCTGTTGCTTAAGCATAAACAAGTGTTTAAGATGTTATGGAATACAGCAGAATGCAGAGGAATGTGTTGATTTTTCCAAATGAAAATGAAAATAAATAAAAAATTAAAAAAAGGCATCTATATGATTAATTTAAAGCTACTAAAGGAATGTTCAGAAGATCATCTATATGAACCAGAAGTGTCCTCAGCCTCCTCTCAGGCGGAGATTCAGGTCGATGGTGCTCATCGCTTGGACGTTGTAGTGTGAGAGTTTAGACCCGGGCTCCGTCATCTCTCGGCCCTGGTGGATGAGCCTCTGCTGGCTCTCCGGGATACTCTCTCTGGACTTGACCCGTTTCTTGAAGTGGTCCACCGTCTCGTCGGGTGTGATGTCATAGGTGCTCAGCTTCCCCTTTTCGTTTCTGAGGAACACCTGCACGGTCACAGGCTGGATCACCAGCAGGGATACGCTGGCTCCGGGACCAACACCGTAGTCGCTGACGTGCCTCGAGTCGTCGCTGAGGGGAGTGTTCACGCCGTTTATGAAGACCAGCTTCTGCGTACCAGAGGGAACTCCTAGTTCCTGCTGGATCCGTGTCTTCAGAGAGCCCACTGTGTCATGTGGGTTCACAATCATTTTACGGGAAGTCCCATTCAGCATAATGATGTTTATATCCATGATGAAAGACCTGAAAGATAATTCAATACATTATTGAAATAAGTTTAGGAGGGAAAAAAACAACTATTTCCACTGAAGTACCCACGGTGTGTTTCTATCAGCGTTGACAAAGACAGATTCTTACCTTGTGATCACTTTAGTAAATTCTTCTGGACAGCTTCAGGTCTTCAGACGGTGAGAGGAAAACAAGCGATGCTCTGGAGCAGCTGTGCCCACAGTTTATATGCAGTCTGCCTCAGCTGATCGACTCCCTCCCCTTTACTTGAGATTCGTTTTCCCTTCACTGACTCGATAACTTTCGGTTTCTATTCTCTCATTAGGACCCCACTGTTACGTGCGCTGCATCTTGATCATAACAAAGCCTTCTGGCATGTTTACGAGGTCAAATCAGGACCGCCCGGTTGAAATAAAGGCAAGACCATTTCTGCTGATACCTGACAAACACGTCATAGTCTATTTTAAGACACATATCACATGATATCACATTTTATTTGGAAACAAAACCAAGTGAGAGAACAGTAGGAATTAAGTATTGTTTTATTTTTTTAAGTTATTTTTTCAAAGTTAAACAACACTAGAATGAAAATAGGACACACTATCAAGATCATAATGTAAATCCCAAATTAAAACAATGTACATTGCACTGAATCCTCTCATAGCACAGGTTGCCAACACACTGCTCACTCACACTTCACATAAAATAATACTGAAACAAAACCAGGATCTATCAATACTGCAACCGTCAAATGAAACTGAAAACTAACGAATCTAAATGCACGTCCAGGTTTTTATTTTACACACCAAGTGAGAACAAATTAGTAATACACGTCATAATTCTGAGTGTTTCAGCATGGCGGCCCTCTCCTCCCTCTTTGGTAAAGGGATATTTCCTGCGATGAGAAAAATCAACAGTAGTTAAGGATCTTCACATTTACAAACAATAACAGGATGAAAAGTTACATTGTAATTAATTTGAGATTTGATTCAACTTTGTCATTGCAGAGTAATGGTCAGAGTATCAGAGTATATGTAGAATAAATAGTGTAGGTATGAAAACACTAAGATATGTACAGTATGAGCACTTATGAACATGAACAGGAGTTGCAGAATGATAAAGTGCAGGTATAGTCCAAGGGGCCACTTTATTTGCACTGACCACTGGCTGCCCTTCTGTGGACTTTAGCCAATCAGCATCATGCACATAAAACCTCCCCTAACAACTTAATGACACATGTTTAATTTGATTAGACTACCTTATCATGAATGTACCTGTTGCATATTAATAGTTGTGTTCGTTGTGTGTCCTTGATATTTTCAGTGGCATCCTCACAGCTTTAGCAAATCTTCTGTCTCAGATTTTGGAGGCCAAAAAAAAGGCCAACAATGGAGCCCTGGTCCATCAGATTGACCCAGCTGGAGCTGCACGCTATGCCATTTATGGGTGAGACTAAATACAGAAACATAATTGAGGGTTGACTTGCTAGTCATGGTTCATGTACAGCAAGAAAGTGAATGTAATGGCATGTTCCTGTTAGACTAGAGTGCCAGACATTATAATATACATAAAATACATACATTTTTGTAGTAATATTATTCCCTGGTTGTCTGTTTCAGGTTGGTTATTACAGGACCGGTGAGCCATTACGTTTACCAGCTGATGGAAGTGTGGATGCCCAGCACAGACCCGCTCTGCATTGTAAAACGTCTGCTGCTGGATCGACTTGTTTTTGCCCCCGGCTTTCTGCTCATTTTCTACTTTGTTATGAACATGCTGGAGGTAGGTCATCTTAGAAACTCTCCCTCCTCATCTCATTGAAGGGGCACTCCAGCAATTTGATAATGCACTGGCAGAAAGTTGGTATGATTGCAAGATACATATATATAAATAAAGCTTTGTCAAATTGTGCAGCAAAGGATGAATGAAAGTACATATATAATCATTCCAATCTATATTCAGGCTAAAGGGTGGAGAGTGTGATGGAAGATTTCTATGTTAATCTGGAGAAGAGAGTTGTTCACAAATCAATAAAAAAGTCTTCAAAAGATTCAAAGTTGTCTTTCTCCGTTTATTTGCTGGCAAGGGAAGAGTGCACAACACAATACGTATTCAGCAGCATGTTGTATAAGCTTCGACTAAGTACAAGATTCAACATCATTTTATACATAGAGAGGCCCCCTCCTCTAGACAAATCATGCATAGGGGAGTAGAGGTCTTTTGACACAGGCTGTCTTGAGCTGCTCATTATCTAGTTTCTGCCAGATGCGTTCAACTGGGAACCAGTTACGGTTTCAAGGTAAGATGAGACTTTCAACTACATGTTCATTACTGCATAGTTTTAACCACACGTAAGTTTTGGGTTCACAACACGGACACACAGAGTTCAAATATATTTTGCCATTACAAGAGACTTTGAGAAGAAGATGAGAGGAAGTTACTGGACTGCTTTAAAGATGAAT